AAAATGTTTTTCTTACTTGTGTCCGAGTGTCTGCCTTCAGCAGGTATTGTATTTTAAAACCTACTGCAGCTGATAGCATTTAGCTTAATTCTCTAATTCATTTCCTCAAGCTTCCTGATAAGTTCTTTTATTCTCAGTATAACAGTTTACTAATGTTAGTTTATACCCAAATTCTAATTCCAATGTGCCATCAGCAATACAGGGAAAATGAAAGTGGACTGCTTGAGTCCACTTTGGGTCTAGCTGCAAAAGGGATTTTGTCGTTCTGCCCGGAGGGCTCTGTATCTGATGTGATTCAAGATGACCCCATTGCTGTACTGTTATTCCCCACTGGTTTAAAAATTAGATACTCAGTTCCGATCTTCATATCATAAATATCGCCTATATATATTATACTAATTTGAAAAATTCCATTGATTCCCAGAGGGAAAATATGGGCATTAACATTCTTGTCAACACAATTATTGGATTTTCATTCTGTTAAATACTGAAAGAAATCTCAAAGAGATGGGTTTTACCTCAAGTATGCATTCTGGTCATGGAGGTCAGTGTTTGTTTGTGGTTTGTTTGTTTTTTGACTTTCGTTTGATTACTGCAATATATCTTAGAATATATAGCAAAACGAAAAAAAAAAAAAAGGCTGAAGTTGCTCAAATATCCAGTAATGCATCACATATATTGAAATATCACTTTCGGGTGTTCAGGATTTAATTCATATTTTAAGATGCTGAAGTGATCAAAGATGATGTTTTTACTATAGGCAGCAGTGTAACTGCAATCTTTGTAGACGTACCCAAGCTAGTCTAAAATTAGCTGACTCCTGTACTGCTACCATTGTTGCCATAGCAGCCCAGGCTCAGCATTTATTATCAATGTCCTGGCAAGGTTTTGCAGCTACAAGGAATCTCGTGCACATAAACCGTATGTAAGCCAAGTATTTTAAGGCTAGGTTTTGCTAGGTCACATATTTAAATGCAATGCTATCATTCCTAAATGGTTTAGGGTCACTCCTAACTGAATTCTTGTCTGGATGCAATTTTTGCAGTGACATGGCTACTGACTAATTTTATAAAAGTATCTTGAATAACAAAAAAACATTTTACCTTGTTTTCATAAAAAAAAAAAAAAAACAACAAAAAAAAAACAACAAAAAAACCTTATTCTAAACATGTTTTCATGCAAAAGTAGTCTGCTATATTAGCACATTTTGCTATTTTTCTTCTCATTAGGTTGACTGTTACTATAAAAGAAGACTTTGGCATAGTTTATATGTACACATTTGGAATCTCCACACAAAAAGTGTTATTGATTTAAGCACAAATAAAAGTAGTAGAATTGAGCTACATTAATTCTAATTATAGGTAAATAGCTGAGTTTAGCAGTAGTAGATCAAGGGAGCACAACTATTTAATTTTTATTAGTTATTTATTTTGACTTGTTTCCAAATGGCAACACTCTTGGGGTGACTTGGTTTGCTTTGCCTAGAAACTCTAAGAACCTTATCAGTACTCAATACTGCATTACAAGAAGTTCAGATGGGATTTAGGTTTTGGTTTAATTACATGCGAGGAAACTCCATTACAACCCTGTTGAATACAGATAAATGAAATAAAAATACGTAATAGCCTTTATATATATACGTTTAGTAATAAAAATCAGGAATAGTTAAGCAAAATTTAAAATATTTGCTGCTGATCTGACAAAATACTTAATGCTGTTATTCAAACCCAAAAGATCAGTTTTGGAGATTTTCAGTAAGCAGAGTTAATAAAATGAATTTCTGATATAACGGTTAAAGGGTTTTGCCGTCAAGTAAAAACTGTTGTCTCTTCTATCCTTACCATAAAATGAGTGTTATTGCACAATCAGGTTACTAGCCATAAGACTTTGTAAAAAACAAAAATAAAACAAAACAAAACAAAAAACACTTTGTAAACAAAAAGCTTTGAATCACATGGCAGGAATAATAAAGGAGTAAGAAAACTGTATCTACCACATCTCAGAATACATCTCTAACTCTCAAACAGGTCTAGGAGGACATGAGGAAACTGTAATTACCTGAAAGATTTGCAGTATCTTTTGTACATTGTAGAACTTCCCATGGAAGCTTAAAACTTGGTCTTGTGTTCTTTGCAGATCTGTCTCCTCTGAATTTCAATCTGAAATAGTCACCTCATGCTGAAAAGAAACTGTACTTTGGTTTTCCCTGTCTAGCAAAAGAGCTCTTCACACAAAAGACCCTGCACAACGCAAGTGAAAAACCTTGTGGAATTGAAGAGACAAAAATTGTTATGGAAGGAAAAAAATGTTCTTGTATTTCAAGAGTTTCTATTACAGATGAAAGAAGAGATTATGGAAAAATCCAAGATGCCCTACAAGACAAAAGCTTTTTCCTGAGCCTTCTGGTGTTTCTAGTTGTGCTAGAGGTTAAAGAAGTGATGCAAACACATCAGAAACACAAAGAAGCAATAGATATTATGAACTTGAAGATGTTTGGCACTTTGAAAATATAAAAAGCATTTTTGATACACTTAGTTCAAACATAAACTGTGTTTTCTTTTTCCTTTTATGAAATTTGTTTTTAAAGTTCTAAATTACATTAAATGAGTTTCAGTGATAAGATATGAAATACCTTACTTGCTTTATCACTCTTTCATTTCCTGTTTTGCCCAGGGTAGGGCAAAATCTCTCATATGTTAGTAATAATCACTCATTTGTATCATATATTCTATCAGAGATGTTCATTCATTCTTTCCTATGGCTTTATCATGTTTTTAATCTGGCTTCCTTTGCTTTGCTTTGGATTAAGAGATCTCTGGCAAGTTTTTAGTGCTTTCATTCATATCTCTGTATTAGATGAACACTAAAATTTTTCTTACTGAATTCCAGTTTGAGTCAAGTAACAGCATTTTGCTTTATGATTTGTGTTTATTATTATTATTAATAATGTAAATTTGATCATTCACGTAATGATATTAACAAATTATTATCAATAACCACAACCATGTTCATTGAACTAGGCAAAAAAATCATATGAAAAATACAACTGATATTAAGAACATGGGTGGATGTCTGGTTTAGACCTTCTACTGAACACTTGATTTCTATTTCTTAAAGAAAACTTTCATACAATGAATATGCTACAAATATCAACAATGTTTAATCAATTAGGAATGGGAATGAAAGATGAACACAATCATTTTTGCAAGATTAGACTTTAGTTTGAGGTCTTCTAGTTTTATTGCTGGTTGGTTTTTGTGTCCCATCCCATTTCCCACCCCGTTCCCCAACCCTCTCCACCCCACTCCACCCCCATGAAAAGGAATTTTCAGATTTAAGTATCAGGAAATGCATTTTTTTTTCTATAAATACCACAATGCTTTTTCTTTCTGTCAAACTGCAGCACCAAATCTCCATTGCTTGACAAATGCTCTCCTTTAGGGGAAAAGAAAGAACATATACATGGATTTTTTTTTTTTCCATACGGCATCAACATTTTTTGTGGATAGTTCTTTATGATTTATTTTATATACAGATAAAATATGAGAGTTTGATTCAGAGATATTTGGGGAATACAACATAGAGAAGCCAGGAAGTTTTACTATGACATATATAATGGTTGTGGTACAGCTATATACTACAGCAATCTAGTGCAGCAATAGTCTGGGGTGGTTTGCCTTTTATATTACTGTAATTTTGTTTTGGGGAGGATGAAATGCAAGAAACAGAAGGACTGAACAGGGATGCTCAACTTTCTAATACTTTTTTGACGATGCTGACATTCCCCATCTCTCACTTTAAATCATGCTTACTATCTGCCTGATGGCTATATACCTTATATACACTATAAGAACCAATAAAATTTATTTTATCATTTCACTTCATAAATTTATGAAACAGAAACATCGGTAAAGCTGTAAAGGAGACAGAGTTCTAATATACTCCATGGCAAAAGATACTTGGCTTGCCTGTTACCAGGTTATTATAGGAATAGAGTTTAGTACCCTTTATAACTTTTCCATTTCCATCTTCATAATATCCATTTGTACCTCAATATGCAGCAACACCTGGCCTACTGACATTTTGAGCAGTGTTTCCAGGAGCAGTAAGACTGTGGTTAATCCAACTGGGAGGACAATCCAGGAGCCAAACGAGACCATAGTACAAGCATTGTCCTCATTATGAAGGCCACATTCCCACTATATCTGAACAGGGACATATTGGTAATAGCAATAGGGCCCATCCACAGACCCAGACAAGGCGAGGCAAGGGAACAAGTCCAGTGACTACCCAGGGAGTTCTGTCAAAACAGCAGGAGACAGCCAAAAACAGGACTGGAGACAAAGCCATCTATGATGTAGGTCCATAGTTTATCCAGCAAAAGCAGCAAGCAAGCTGGGTCAGCTCAGACAAGATCTAGGTGCCCAGGAGCTTAAATGGAGCTCCTAGAGGATGTGTAGGTGGATGACCCTGTTGAAACTGATCAGGACAGTAAAGACCTATTAGCATACTCAAGGCCCTGACACTAAGGCAAGCACCACACAAGGCACTACCATTGCCTAAAGCATCAAGTAGCTTAATTTTGGTTTGCATATATTAAATTATAGCAGTAACGCAGATGGATTTTTTGAGAAAAAAAAAAAAAAAACTTAATTCCAAGGTTCACTCTTGCCTTCTTTTTGAACTTCATCAGTAGACATGTTTTGCCATCTAGTCAATCATATTCATATATGATTCATTTGCAGATTTCTAAAAAAGACAACTGCTGAAAGCATCACTGAGTTTGTTGCGTTTTGTTGTTGGTTTTGTTTTTTGTTTTTTTGTATTCATAGTAAACATTTGTTATTAAGTGGAGGAAAACAAAAGAAGATTTGAAAAAAGGGAACTAACCAATTACAGTAAGACAGTTTTTTTAGGAGATTTTGTCTTGATTTTAGAAAGATTTGAAGTTGCTGTCTGAGTGTGAGCTGATATCAAAAGAAGGTATTGTGTCAACTTACCTTGCTTTGGGCTCAGAAGGTAACCAGCTGTTACAAGCTTTCTGTGAAGAAGGGGATCCTTTCCACACGCAGTTTTATGTGCTTTCTTGGTGAAGATTAGTGACAATCCTTGCACAGGTGAAACTACCATATCAAATAATATTTGCAATTGATATTTCAACTGCAAAGGTTTTGTAGCCCTCTATACTTTCCCTCACACATACTAAAGATATAGGCAAGAACCCAAAGTAGTGAATATTAAGATTACCTTCAAATTATTTCAGATGTTGAGCAATATTCATCCAAGTGAAAGATTCTGTTCAGGTCCTGTTCAATTGACAATACACACAGTGTTCTGCTCTGCTAGTTCTCAGGTTCCAGCTACTTTCTTTCCTGGCTTAACGCTGGCAATACCTCTGTCTGATTAAGGAAATAGATGTTCATATTAAACATTTGGGACAAACATTAGGATCCCCTGAGAGTTGTACAGGAGGCCAAATGGAAGGTAGAACATTCTGTTTCAGATACGAACATGTATTTATTATTGTTCTGCCTCACAAACTCCAGCCTAATTATACTCAGGCATAAAAGCAAAAGGTGAAGTTCCTTACTTCATCTGAACTTTTTAGTAGTTCTCTCAGAAAAGATACCTCAAACAAAACATATAAAGTCTTTATTTTTATTAGGGTCAGACTAGTGAGAGAGAGAAAAAAACACACAACAACACCGTAAGATTTTGCTGCCTAACTAAAAAGACTTGTACCTGCAGAATAAAAACAGGCTGACTGCTGTGCACACAATGCGGACATGCTAGTTTGGTCAGCGTGATGCACCCACCCTAAGCCACTCAGCTAAACAGCAGGGGACTCATCCATTTTCACTTCTTTCCCAAAGTGCCCAACTCAGCAGGACTATTAAGTATATTTCAATTGTAATCTCGCCATTAGTTATCCACCCACTTACCATCACCAACGGATTTATACCTGAGATGCATGTGAATTAAATGTAACATAGTGCTTCACAAGCAGAAGTGATTCTGTCTGCTTACATTTAAACACAAGACATTTCCCAGTATTGTCGCATGTGGCCTAAATCTAAATACATGACAGCAGAAAATGAATTTATGTTGAGAGAACAATAAGGTTCTAAATATTTAGAAACCCTTAAATCATACAGCAACATAAAGCTTGTAACTTATCCTTAGAGTACAGTATCATTATCTAAACATGACAAAAGCAGTCACCTGGCCAGCTCACCAACTATGTAAGTCCTTCCATTCTCAAAATGTCGTTTATATCTCCTGGCTTAAGTGTTCTATTGCAGCATATATCAGCATATGTTCCCGAAACTCCTGGAATTAGTAGATAATATCATTAGTGAGACCTTAAGCATGCTATATCATGCTCTCAGAGAAGCAAAATCTAGTGCTTTTTGGCAGACAAACAAAACATTCTCAGATCTACCTATATACCTGCCTGGCTGTCTGGGAGAGACTGGAATAGAAACACTGAAAATGACACGGACAAGCACACACATACATGTCCATCCATCCATCTATCCCTTTTTCCTCCTCCAACTTCTGACCCAGCTTTTTCTGACCCCAGGCTTCCAAAGCCTCAGTCTACTCCTTTCCCTCTAACTGTGTCATTTGAGGCTTGTGATTCTCTGCTGCCTTAGTTATTAGCAGTGGAGAAGCAGAATTCTGTCCTCCAGCCACACTCTCTGTATTAACAAAGCATTGTCTTGTCTGCACTAGGAGCTGCAAGAGAACTAAGAGTAGTCACTCCCCACCAATAACGGAGTATTAACTCAAAGCTTTTCGTTGCTAGGCTAAGCACATGGGACTTTTCAAAAGTTTTTGGTTTAGACACCTTTGAGTGGATTCCTCACAAACCAAAAAGTACTTCTTCACTGCAACCATTTCTCTGACAAGTATGAAATGCTCACTACAAAACACAGATGCTAGAATTATACAGTATAAAACAATATGAAATGATGTAGTAATAATAATATATATACAGCATTCAAAATATTAAATAATAAACAGAGCCTCAGGATTTTTTTTTTTTTCCTTACTACACAAGACAACCTGATACAGATGAGCCATGTAGGGTTAAACATTTCTAAAACAGTTAGACCTTAGGGCAGATAAATGACATGGAAGACAGAAACCCAGATGTTGAGCATTTGGCAAAGTTACAAGTGACTAAAAACAGTCTTATTACAGGAAATTAATGGTACTTGTGAATTGCAGAGCCCACACTTCCAGTAACACTGAGTTTACTTTTATTCCTTGTAATCATTCCTAATTTATTTTAAAGGGTTGGGAAATATTTGTATGTGAACTTTTGTCATGTTGGCTGCTGCTCATCAGTTAGTGTCAAAAGATCACAGAGAGGTTATACTTGTAACTATGATTTTACCTGTTGTAACGTGAAACTAAGAGCTAAATGGGGGCCCTCTCATTCTCAAGAGCTGCATATACTAAATTACCTTTATACCAATTAATTAATGAATAAATTATACATTTATTACAGAAATGTATAAAATTACATTATCTGACCAATATTATTTGCAACATAAGATGACAACTTCCTCGTAAGGGGGTGTCGAGAGGCAGGAGACCTTTTCTCCATTAACACCAGCGACAGGACCCGCGGGAACGGGGTTAAGCTGAGGCAGGGGAAATTTAGGCTTGACATCAGGAGGGGGTTCTTCACAGAGAGAGTGGTTGCACACTGGAACAGGCTCCCCAGGGAAGTGGTCACTGCACCGAGCCTGTCTGAATTTAAGAAGAGATTGGACTGTGCACTTAGTCACATGGTCTGAACTTTTGGGTAGACCTGTGCGGTGTCAAGAGTTGGACGTGATGATCCTTAAGGGTCCCTTCCAACTCAGGATATTCTATGATTCTATGATTCTATGACAAGCACTGTACTACAAAATGATGAAAGGGATAGAATATAAATACGGCCTGCTCACAAAGTGCTATCACTACTTCAATGCAAGCTGGTTTCATAGCAGCAACATTTCAAAAGTGCTTTTTCCTGTAAATAAATGTAACATCTGATATCTCAGATAATTATGTAAATATATAAATATGATGCAATTCAACAAAGAGGAGAGATGATTTCAAAAATACTACCCCTTCCCCTTATCAAACCCCTACTATGTTCCTGTGGACATGAACAAAGTTGAAGAAATGATGCAGGAACAGCAAGAAAAGTATTGTAAAACAGAGACAATGTATAAAGGAATGCAATAAGCATCAAGAGACTGAAAGTCAAATAAATGATGTACTAGGAAATAAATTAATTACTTTGAATTTGAAAATTAATGTTACCAAGTTGATATAATAGAGAAGGTGAGCTGACAAAGAGACTGGAAAGGGTTATGAAAGAAAATTACTACAAGCAGTATGTGGTTAGAAGAGTTGCTGAGGAATGAGGAGGCACAAAGAACTGAAAGTTATCAAAAAGATTAAGTATCAGTTATGGTCATGAAAGCAGAAAGCTAAAAACTAGCTCTTTGGGAAGGGCTTTTCTCTCTTGCAGAAGTGAAGAAGCATGGCTTTGATGGACAATGGAGTAAGCTAGACTTGGCTACCAGAGAAGCCTGCTTTCCAAATCTATTTTCTGTATGAACTCTTTATACAGTTTAAACTTAAGTAGCCTCTCAAACTCACATATATAGAAGGAATTCACAAGTATTAATTAAATATCTCAAAAGAACCCTTTCAGGTATACACATATCAAACATGAAATCTTTTCTAATTATGTTAATCGTGTATTCTTAGTGTCCTCTGTTAACAGTTTAATCAGGCAACAAGACTTGATTATCTGCATCATAAGATAAACAGTATAATTCATAATTTTTAAATTTCCTTGCTATCAACTTGAAATAACAAGTTTCTGCCATAAACGATAAAGCTGCTATAAAACATAATTAGAGTTGTTCAATATCTGCAATATAAATCACTGTTTTTCATCCAGAAAAAAAAATAAGAAAAATATATACCATTTATTTTTAACAGTTCACAGGGACTTATTTCCACCAAGCAAGCACATAATTGCCCTCACACTGTACGTTCATACTACATGGAAATTTATTTCCAGACATGCTTGCAATTGCCTTGAAAACATACACATTGTTGGACTTAATGACCTTGAAGGTCTTTTCTCACCTAGATGATTCTATGATGCTATAACATATCCTCATAACATCTTTGTATGTGCCTATAAATGTACTGAATTAGTACCTGTACTGTAAATACAGTGTTATAAAATCTTTCTATAAATAATTATGAGAGAAACCCTCCCTGCACATACCAGAAATCTCAAACTACACTTAGTCTTAACCTTCTCCATTACTGAGCTTAAGCACAGCCTGCAGGAAGTGAGTGCACTTCACTGAAGTTGACCATATTGTATTTTATGCTGTATGTGAATCCAGTGGCATGAACTCTGAGGAGTAAGAGGAATATCCTTATGAAAACTAAGCAATAGGAATGTTCTTTCAACATCCAATATAAGGAAAATGCCTAGAACAAAGAAAGGAGCAAGAAAAACACAAAGTTTGTAAAAAATTCAAAAGGCATATTAGTTATTCAGAGCATCCCTTTTTTGACAGACATTTCAAATTGAGAACTGTATGTTGTATGTCACTGCACTCTTTGCAAAATAGTTGATACAAAAAAGGGCTGTGGTGACACGTGGCCCAAGCAAAGTAAACCAAAACAGCTTTTGAGAGACCAATCAACCTTGCAGTAGAATAATGACCACTTAAGCAAGATAGTGTAATGATATGCTAAAGGACATAATTTAAGTTTCCACATTCAAAGGGAAATATATTTGTTTCTTGTGGGAAAAAAATAAATAAATAATAATAAAAAATATATATATATATACACTTTTAAAAGGACACCCAAAACATTAATTACACTCTTATTTCTACCAGTTAATTCCGGACAGGAGAATTATCTAGATTACAATACATTGACTTACATGGATTAATGCTACTTTACAAGAAATCAGGTTATTTTAAATCATAACTGTCTACAGAAGCAATTATTTGTTTCCTGCAGTTACAGGTTTGCCTATTGACGGTTCTTCAACATTTTTCTTTTCAGTAGTGTCTTGCACACACACACTATTCTTGCATATTGTCAGGGCCTGAAACTCACTCCCTGCCTCCAAGTTCTGAAACTCACTCCCTGCCTCCAAGTTTAGCTGATGCGGCAACTGTCTTTTTCCACAACATTGTGAAGGAAGAGCTGTTCAAAAACGAGCCTTAAAAGACTTGGGCAGTGGGGGGTGGAATCTGCTTCGCCTAGGATCTGCTTCAGACCTTCCCCTGGGTTTTTGCTTCTGCTACCTCAACTGGCTGATTCAGAGCCTGAACCAGCTTGATCCTGGACAGCTGGGACAAGTGATACTGGGCTGTGTGACCCTGTTCGCTATCATTGGACTTGTAATGCAGATGTATGCAAAAATGGTCTGCAATGCATAACCCCATACAGATCAAATAAATCATTTTTGCATATTTCTAAATATTATTTCTAGTTACATACCTGTAAAGTATGCACTGTTCCTTGCATATTTTTTGCCTGCCTGCCTCACAGAACCACAGGATGGCTGAGGCTGGCAGGGCCCTCAGGGTCCGCCTGGTCCAACTCCTGCTCAAGCAGGGCCACCCAGAGCAGGCTGCCCAGGACCATGTCCAGGCGGCTTCTGAAGATCTCCAAGGAGGAGATGCCACAACCTCTCTGGGCAGCCTGTGCCAGTGCTCCATCATGCACAAATTCACTTTCCTCTAAACAGAAGTTGCTACAAGGAGTTGCCAATGGCAATTCCCTGCTACTTCTTTCCTGAAAACTAGTCAGTGACACTCTTCCTGCATGTCATTTCAGGACAGAACACCTCCATGACAGCCTTTTAGATCACTGGAAGGAACACACCCAAGAGAGGAGAGACCAACACAGAGACAGAGACCAGGAGAGTCTGACAGGGAGTCTCTACAAACTTAATAACTAGTCCTAAAAACACATTCCTCAGCAGAGGAGACTGAGGAATAGAGGGCAAACTGAACTGCTCTATGAAATGTGGGTATTTACTGGAGTTGGAAATAACAGACTGACAGAAGGCTTAAAGGATGTACCTTATCATTCCTCTTTATTTTGATACTAGAATCACATACTTAATATATGTGGCTTAATATATAACTTTTGTGTTGGGCCACACAAAACTAAAATGAAACAAAACAAAAAAACAAGAAAAGCCTGAGATTTTAAAAGTGGTATTAGAGCTTGGATTTTTTTTTTTTTTCTACCTTCTTGCAGTAAAAATGATGCCCTT